GTCCGCCTTCTCTTTCTATTCGGGACTGGACCTGAGGGTCGTGGTAGCCAGGCTCTCACTCGCGACCTATCCGCGATAGTTCGGCCACCGGCCGATGGCTCGGGTGGCCTTAGAGATCTGGTGGCCAACTTTGTCGTCGTTTTTGATACTGCGTGATAGTGTCCTGTTCAAGTCGGCAAAGTTGTCCACGATATTCAGCTGGGTGCCATTGGCGTGGTTGCCTGTAATACTGAATTTAGCGTTGAGTGGCGGTTGATGCATGACCACCGTTTTGCCCCTGTTGATGGCCAGTTCGAAGTTGGTGTATCTTGAAGCGAAGCGTTTAATGCTTCGTTGCATGTCCGTCTCTATCTCGTTTTGAGTGGGCAGTCACCTGCGGAGAGCAGGTGGTGGGCTGTAGTTGTGGAGAGGTGCGTTGAGGCCTGCGTGCGCAGGCTATTGGGGAGATGCTGGTCGGCCCTGTAGGTGATGCGGATCTCGGGCCGTTCATCATGGTAGGCGCTCATCAGCATTGCAGAAAACATGAGACTGAAGAGGATGAGGGCGTGTAAACAGCCCTGCTTTACTCGTTTTCCTTAGAAGACAGTTTAAGTGGGAGTGGTTCAACTTTCTCATTTGACTTTGCTTGGTCCGTGGAGGTCCTTCTCCGGGCGCCTGCTACAGCACTGCACATCGCGCGTACCGGTGACATTCTGGTTCTTGGTCACTCACAGCTATCCAAACCGGCCAATCAGCTTCGAGGTCGTCACAGGTTCCTCCACTCAAGTCGCCCTGACACCTGCTCTTGCGGCACCGGACCTGCGCCTCTTGTCCGGCTGCCAACTCGTCCCGACCTATTCTCCAAGCGTTCTTTACAGAATTCCATCCTCTGCCTACTGGCATTGAGCCTCTCCTCTTTATATTTGGGGGCGGGGTCTGAAGGTCGCACTGACTAAAGCCTACCTATGACTTTGGCAGCCACGACGGATTATCCGCACCATGGATTTGCTCTGTCAGGCCTACCGCCATGTACATCTCGTATTCCTTGTAGGGGCGGGTTCTACGACAGTTCCAGCCTGAGTTCTGTAGTTTGTCAAGAGCCCGGTCAGTTTTAGGGATCCGACACCACCCCTTCCTCGATTTAGATTGTGCTGAAATGGCATTACCTAAGCATGGGGACTGCTTTCCAGCGCAAGGTGATTACTGTTGAGAGTCTGAGAGCTGGCTGCGCGTGGCACCTAGAAAGGAGCGTTGTGGCAGGAATAGAAATAGTATGAGCGCTAGAGCCTGACTGTCTAGTATATATCCAAATGCTCATGGATATAATTTAATATCTAACTACTTTGGTTCCAGTCCGCGAGCTTGGTTGTTGGCAAAGGATTAAGGGTGAATTTTTAATTATAAAACGTCGTTTCACTCGTCGACTATTAACTCGCTTGGGTAGTTTGCTATTTAATCCGTTTCCTTCGAAAATACTCGTTAAGTACTCTTACATTACATTTCGTCATGTTCAAATGCACATTTTCACCATAAATGGAGTCCGAAATTCGCCTAACATGTGATAGCCTGAAACAACGTTAATCACGGGTATTCCCATCCGTATTCATATCTACTGCTACAGACAGTAATAAAATTTCAAACTCAATTAGTAATAATTTATTTGACCATTTCATGTTACAGCAAAAGACCACACGCGACCTTCTGTCATTTTTTTGAATGAAACAGTAATCCAAAGTTAAATGCCTGTGCTCTGGTTTAAATAGTCCTGCTATAATATGACAATGTTCTGTGATAAAAAAACGGCTTATTGGTGTTTTAAGCACGACTAAATAACAGTGTGATCAAGGCTATTGGCCTCGTTTGGGTGTTAGGTTACACTGCTGACCGTTAGTTCATCGTAGAGTGGTAGCATGAAGAAACCGATTTCCTCCAGTTAGACTACTGAGGAGAAGCTTGCTGAAGCCAACCAAAGGCCTTGAACAGCAGAGAGGGAGATGGTTACTACGAACACATAACATTAAATATACCTGCGGAACACCTTAAAATTCCAGAACTTCATACAGTATTCGAAGAGATCCAGAGTGATAAACGCAGAAAACTTGCTTCGCTCTTAGCTTTATACTCCGTACGAAACAACCTTCCCGCGGTTTCACTTAACACCCTTAAGCGATCGGCACGTCATCTAACAAATGGGGCCTTCCTATAAACAGAAGAATGCAGTCCAAACTCCAGACATTTTTTTTCCAGAGACCTTTGTGAAGCGGAAGAAACGTGTCACGGTGCATTTTTCGTACAGTTTTAAATGTCAGATTTTTTTCTCCAGCTGGCGGCATCTGCGTAAATTTCGCAAATGCACCCACGCATTAGCTGAGTGCGCTTCTAACAGACGCAGTCAATGTTCAGCGGGCAGGGTAGAGGGTGATCGATCGTTGTGTGCGCGCATCCAGGTGCACGCACGTGTGAGCACTTGCACTTCATACTGGACTGCTCCAAAGGGCTACTTCGACTGCCGGCATGCTTTGACTGCGCCCCACCTGCTGCTAACCAGCCCGCATTTCGAAAAAAAGTTATAACTGCACGTCAGTACTTACCGGACTGCTTCGCATCCACAGAATTAGATGCTCAGCCGCCTCCATAATAGGCAAGGGACAAACTAAAGCAGATATGCATACAAAAGCGGTGATAGTCTCCCTATTTTTCGAGTTTTTTGTAAATGCGTCAAATTGATTTTCGTGTCCATTTTATATTCCACAAGCAAGTAACCGATAAATGACTTGCAGCTGTCTTTGACTGCGGCAGGTTATTTGTGATTGCAGCATTTCGCTTAACCCAAAAAGTAAAGCGATTAATTGCTTCACGCTTTTCATGATCATTTCCTTATAGATTAGTCGATGATGAAATAGTTTGCGTATATTATCAGTGAATCTGGTTAACTTCCAGTGATGACATCGGGATTTCTATAACTGGCTTTCTGACCGGTAAGGCTCATTCTTGAG